TCAGGAGTCTTCGAAAATACGAAAAGAATTTGTGCCTGCGATGGGACGACCCTGTGGGATGAGCGAGATGAGTCTAAACAAAAAGGTTCATTCAAAAATACTTTCATATATCCAGGTAAATGCACCATAGCCTAATACTCGTAGTATTTACTGATTAAATACAATTTTAAAAACCAATGTTTTGTGTTTCTTTTCAGTGTGTGGTAATAATCTTTAAATTCGACCCAGAGTGGATAGTGCACTTTTTGAAAACTACTATAAATTTATTTCTGTATGCAGGTCATGTAAAAGTCATATCATTCCATAATATTGCTGATGAAACATTTTTGTATTTCAGTTTTTATTTATGAGGAGGGCTGAAGGTATTTATAACTCAAATAAAAATTCAATATAAACCCATAAATAAATGTTTATTGTGTTCGATAAGATTGATTTAATTCGTAATTTATCATTTATCAGTGTGCGTGACGTAAAAAAAATAATATTAATCCAAAAAGGTATGCGAATAACTAGGAAAATACGATCGAATGAGAATAAATCATTCGTTATCAGAACCACTGTCGTCAGAATTAGTTCTGCCTCGAATTGTTTTTGATTTCTGGTTTCCAAAGAGTAGATTGGACGGCTCTCCCTTTTCTGGTGGATTCAACAGGTCACCAGTGGATGATATTGCACCAGACTGGGCTCTTCTCCACTCCATCATCTCTGTGGAAAAATCGTCGCAATTTCCGAGGTCCGTGAAGCCTACGATGTAGTCTTTTGTCTTGTTGTCTGAGATGAGGGCTATCGTGGGAATTATTTTGATCCACATTATGGAAATAGCTTTAAGAAAACTTGGGCAGCGAAAGATGTTCACTGCTGGATGATGTTGACGATTTCGGTTGCCTCTTAAGCTCTCGCATTTCGTCTACCTTCACCTTTCGTAAATGCATTATCTTTCTTCGGGTCAAGAATTGTTCCAGGAATTCATCGACTTCTGTATCTCCCGATAAGAATTCCTCAGCTATTTTCTGGACACGAAGGAGAATACAAATAAAAATCACAATTATCATTTGATAATTATTTATATAATTGCTTAAATAATTACTTACGATTTTTCTTCAATTTCCACAGCAGCTCACAGCCTTTCTCAGACAGATCATATAATGCTTTTTTATTCTCCTCGAGTTGGGGTTTCTTTTCTAGATTGACTTCGGCCAGAGAACGATTCCCAGCGATCAGAACTTCCTTTTCAGATTTCAATTGTTTAAACTAGGAAACCTCACGAAAAGTTAGTAAGTCGCATATCTAATAATAAGACAATAAAATAATGAGACAACCGCCTTATTATCCATTTATTGTCATCGATTAAATAATTCACCTGTTTTATGTCATTGACATGCAGCTAGAATATCCATAGAAATTGATGAATTTATTATGAATGCATTATTATTTATTATTAATAAATGTCATGGTTCTTTTTTGATTCCAGGTTTGCAATTCATATTTTTTTATATTGACTTAGTGGATTAGGCCTACAGGGGATACCACGTTAAAAAAAACGCGTCACGGACTCTACCTCTTGGGTGACGTGGAAAGAGTTTCACATTAATTACTTTATTTATAAAAAAATAGTCAATACTGGGTAACAATTTCTCTTATTGAAATAATCATATACCCATTGTTCATTTGTGCTTTTGTCGACAATCTTTATGCCATACTTTTTTTTTTCATGTCAATATAAAAGAAAAAAAAATCCAACGACTCGACTGGCATTCAAATTTAACCGCCAGAAATCGCTGAATTGGCGCTACGTACGACGTCTGAAGGTACTTGTCCCCTGTTTTGATGCCGGCGACATCAAAGCTTGGCAATACCTCCCTGTATCATACTTTAATGCTGGGGTGTCCATCAAGTCGACGGGGTGAATTTTATTTTCTGCGGTATGAATGCTTTTTGTTTTTTATTTGTTTAACTGCGATTTTGCTGACTGTAGAACGAGCGGAAGGGGAAAGCCACATTTTGTGAAATTTCAAATGAAAAAAATTATTCAATGTATTGAATATATACTACTAATGAAATTATAATTTCAAATTGAGCGCGTTGTCGAGTTGGCAGCGTGCTCGCCTGTCACGCGGGCGGCTAGGGTTCGATCCTAGCGCCATTCATTTTTTTTTTTTCAAAATAATTCCAATTTGTTCTTTTTTAAATGGCTAATCAATCGAAAGATTGTTTAAAAACTGAATTTTTGAAAATCGAGAAGATATTCAGTGAAATTGACAAATTTGAAATTTTTTTTAAAAATACCTTTTCAAAATATATACCCCTAATGAAATTTTAGTATTATAATAATGCGTTATCCTAGTGGTAACGTGCTTGCCTACCACGCCGACGGCCCGGGTTCAATCCCGCCGTCATTCATTTTTTTTTTTAAATAATTCCAATTTTTTCTTTTGCAACTGGCTAATAAATCGAAATAATGGTTAAAAACTGAATAGCTCCTCGATTGTCATGTTCCCCTGATACTTTTACAAAAATTTCGAATTTTTCACTTTCAGTGAAAATTTCAGTGAATAGCTCCTCGGTTGTCATGTTCCCCTGATACTTTTACAAAAATTTTGAATTTTTCACTTTCAGTGAAAATTTCAGTGAATAGCTCCTCGATTGTCATGTTCTCCT